ATGCGAAGACAGAGGACTCGCACCGCGCCAACTACTCTCTTGAACTAAAATGCGATGCATACGAGATACGAGATATCGTCTTGGGAGTTGGCAAAACTTACTTGCTCTATTATTTCACGTTCTTCAGCCGATAGATGAGATAGATCGGGCATCAGTGACGGATCGTCCATAACGTGATAAACAGAATCAACGTGCTGAAAAATGAACAATACAAATTAAATAATCAGAAATGGTAACTTTATATAATTCGAATCGATGTGAACGGCGCGGGCGAAGCAAGAAAACAAAAAAAAACACGACAACAATGAAAACAGAGACGTAGTTAGTTGGTGTCCAAGGGTTGAATGTCAAAAAGGGGCACGAAGAAAACAGGAAAGGAACAATAGGAGAGCAACGTCTTTTGTCACTGAACTCGGTTGCATTATCAACTTTTTGATGGAGCGACGAATATCTTGAAACAAAACAGAAGTTGAAGAAAAAAAATGAAAAGTAGAGAAAACAGAGAGTCTCCTGGATTAGAAACAATGAAAAATGACGCCTCTTCCGAAGAAGACGAAAAAGAAATGAAAGGAAGCACCCTATGATGGGGTGTGGTCAGTTTGCCGACAACGTTTTCAGTGAATACCGTGGGAAAATGGGGTAGGAAGAATCCGAAAATAGGCGCCCGTCGTTTCTCTCTATTCGCTATCAAGAACTTTTTTGCAGAGAAAGTGAAAGAGAAAAGCACTGAAAAGGAAAAGAAATAAGAAATGAGCGTAGGAGTTTGGTGGTACTAGTGGTGGGGGCTTTGGTGAGGAAGTGGCAAGAAGGGAGGGGAATAGAGGAAGAAAAAAGAAAGGAAAACTCTGGAAAGTGATGGATATGAAGGTTTTGTGAAGGTTTTCTTCTTCTTCACAAAAAAGGCCAACTACGAGGACGACAGGTAAAGGATTCATGCTGGTGTTTGGCTTGACAACATCTGGACAACGCCAGATGTTGAAGAGAGACAAAGGTAAATGTGAAATTCGAAATTCGATGCAAGATTAACGACTGTGTCGAGAAGAAACACATTAATTTTGAGACAATGAATTCATTTTTGTTTCCACAAGCTAGTATGAAATAAAAAAGACAAGGTCTAGAAAAGATAGGGACCCTCCTCATGCTACGTACGGAAAAAAAGGAGGAGGGGTAGAAAAAGAAAGAGAAAACCGGGAAGGAGTAGAAAAAAAAAGAAAAAGATGAAGAAAACAAGGCATGCGCGACAGGAGGAAAAACCAGCCGAATGCGATATAAGCAATGAATAAAACAAGGACATGGATAGCGAATAGTTCATGTTTTACTCAGAGCTCTTCTAATAAATAAATGGATGTGTGTAGATGGGAGTAGAAGGGAGGGGTTTAGGACTTGCGGACGACTGATGCGCAAACGCAAGGAAGGAGAAAGAAGGGGTGAGGAGCAACGTCCGCAAAACACAAAAATGCTCTACCCTTCTTTTCTTTCGCAACCAGTCTTTCCCTTTTTCCTTCCCAAGATGGCTCGGTCCGTTTGTGCCAAACGTTGACAATTAGCAACTCAGCGGGCAGCTTATCCAATATGCTCAAGATTGCCATGTTTTGTTCTTGCTTCGTTGGCGGGCTTCCACATACACATACACACAGACATACAAGCAGATACACGCGGCAAAGGCCTCAGCCTCAAATTGGATTATCTGTTCATGAATGCACAGAAAGAAGAAAAGTATAAAACGACAGGGGTAGAAGACGAAGGAGGTGGAGCACAGACGTTTGAAGTCGACGGCGACGACGGGACCACCCTTCAGTCAAGCAGCTCCGCCTATTCTGTGCCCTTTCGGTCACGTCCAGGATGCGAATGAGTCGAGTGGGCGGAGCATCCTCTCTCCTCCGATCTAGGGCAGTCACGGAAAAAAACGAAGAAGTGAGAGAGAGAGAAAGAAAAATAGAGTGGAAACACAGGAAGAGTGAAAAGTCCACGTTTAGTAGGTTGACTTCTGACTCACTTAAACACCTGCATATACATACACGATGCTCTCTAGACCACGCCTCTTTTTCTGGATTAGCAAGTCGTTGTATGTTAGGAAGTGAGAGGGGGATTGAACGAAGGAGAGTTTTCGGATTTTAAAGATTAGATTAACGATGAGAAAGGATAGAAAATGGGGGAAAATCCTTTTCGAATTATTTCATCTTGGTGGTGATTCAAGGATGTTAAATCCGAGAAGTGCAATAAGGAGGATTTGATATCTGAGAGATAAGGATCACTTTTTCAAAAGGGATGATGTTTGGAGAGAGTTCCTATCGATGAAGAGGCTTCTAATGATTTGTAGACGTACCTAGAGTATGACAAAGTTTATGATTGAGTATTGAAATTCGAAAAGTGAGAAAGTGTTTCTTATCGGACATTTTCTTAAAGTCTGAAATTCCAAACTATCTGAGAAATAGAGAAAGTTTGTGATCTAAAACATTTTCTTGTCTTGAATTCAACTAATTACTAACTCGGTTTTTCTTTCATCTCCCAATTACTACAAATGTATGTCCCAGTTATATCTCCTAGTTTCATAGACATTTCACGTGTTAGTGGTTTTCTCCCCTTCGTTGAAATAAATAAATAAATAAAGAAACTGATAAAGCTTTAGGATGAAATTCAAATAGTGAATTCCATACACAAAAATTTAAAAAAAGACGTATTCAGAATCAATAGTTTTCGAAACCAAAGTAGTTTTAAATGAATCCAATTCATATCTAAAGCAATGTTGAAGTCTATAATTATGTATTGAAATTCGAAAAGTGAGAAAGGGTTTCTTATTGCAAAAAAAAATTTGAAGACTGAAACTTCAAAATACCTGAGAAATGACAAAATTTGTAAGAAACTGATGAACTCACACGGTTCAATTCAAATTAAGAGTATGCAATTCCAGAAATGTTTGAGTACAATAAAATGGACCAGATTCACATTTTCTATCAAGTTACGCTATCATACAGTAATCCTACAAACGTTTAGGGCTTTCTTCTGACTCTTAACACAAATCAGCATCAAGACAACTAGATATGACTCTAATGAAAGGTGACAGGGACATTGCTCACATTTTTCTAGCAGGCTCTTGAAGTACGTCACTCGAGAAGATATTTTTGATTTTCAGATTCATGTTTGATCTCATGTTGGGTTTGACCTAGGTCATAGGGTCCTTCGATTTAAATTTTTTCTGATTTTGAAAATGACGTTCATGAACAGACATTATAAAGATAGTCAATTTTTTCAAAAAAAAATTTTTCAAAAAAAACATCTCTAAAACTACAGGTTTTACAGACAATATTGGAATTCAAAGAAGACTGAAGAGATGAATGCTTGATTTTGTGTCTTCCAAAATTGATAGATTTTGAAAATGACGTTCATGAACAGACATTATAAAGATAGTCAATTTTTTCAAAAAAAAATTTTTCAAAAAAAACATCTCTAAAACTACAGGTTTTACAGACAATATTGGAATTCAAAGAAGACTGAAGAGATGAATGCTTGATTTTGTGTCTTCCAAAATTGATAGTTCAGCTTTCTGACAGACTTTTAAAAAATTTTGATAGCAATTTCAATTGTCCTCATGTGAAATACCATGTTTCACTAATTTTCTGCTGCAAATAAATTTTGAATCAACTATTTAGTATCTCTAACCTAACATTCCTAGGTTAGAAATAAATGTATTTCAGATTAATCAAAGTCTCATTCTTGGAAAGCGGATAAGGGGAAAATTCTATCAAATCTAAATAGAAACTGAGTCTGAAAATTGGATATCAAACCGATACATGTAACAGGTGAAAAACAACAGTATCAATTTCTCTGAAAAAAAAGTAATAAGTGATATTTGTGTCAAAACCCGAAAACAATCAGAATAACATATTCAATCTAATCTGAGAAAAAGGCAGGTTACTAGTTCATGCTCACGCAACACTTCTGATTGGTTAGCTCAGCAAGCTAGATTCCAGATGGATGCACTAATAGTGGCAGGCGGTTCTTATCACTGGGACGATGTTAGAAAAAGTGTGAGAGACGAAATATGAGAGATAGAGAAGAAAATCCGCACGATCAGAAAAAGGAAGCTACACATGAAGACGTTTGAAGTAAAATTTGTAGAGAACTGGGAGAAAAATAGGGAGGATTCAAGATGGGCTTGACAGGTATACTCAAACTGATTGAAAACTTTTTATTCAGGTATGGAAAGCTTTTGAAGTCCTTACGTTGATTAACAAGAGAGCTAAAATCTAGTAAAAGGAGATTATAAACGTTAAGCCTACTGTAGAGGTCCGAAAAAAGTTCATCGGGTGCATTAGTTGATTGAAAATGAAAAAAAAACGAAGAGCGATAAAATGTGGTAATCAGCTAACTGGGTTTTTCTAAGACTACTCGATAGCCTAACTAATCTTTGCTAAGCACATGAAAAATGGTGAAACTACGACTTTATGATCTCAATTTTCTGGCGGTGAGGGAAAATTTAATTAGATATTTATAAAGATGCGGTCACAAAAAAATATCAACTAGATCTCTGCACTGTTTCTATCAGTCTATACTTTTTTTCTAAGTGTTATTTATGTTAAAAATAAAGAAATAATATTTTTTAACATGCAAACACAAATCAAGCTTTCTTTTTAATTATTAAGGGGTTTGCAAAAAACTATGAGATAAGCTACGATCTACAGAAAAAGCGTACTTTCCCTGCTTTATTCATTGCTCAAGGTCTCTGCGGAGTGGATTTCGGAAAGTCGAGGTGAGGGAAGGCAAGAAACATTTGGCCAATAACTGACATCACT